AGCCTTTAAGTTGGTGTGGTAAGTAATTTCTACTGTGTGCCTCACTGTATATATATTAATAACAATGAGAGGATTGACATAGTGACTGCGTCAGAAATTTTGAGCATGGCATAGGATAGGACAGGGTTCAGATCTGTTGTTTATAGGGTCGCTATGAGTCATACTTAACTCGATGGCACCTAACAATAACAACAACAAAAACAGCACACAGCTTAGGAGCTCAGGGCCAAAAGCAGAACTCAGGACCAAAAATAAAACAAAAAACAAGCCACATTTAAATATGTACTCTTTGATATCTTCATAGATATAATTCTTGAATATTTATATAGCTTCAACCTTCCATTCTAAAAATGCAGGCAGATCTGGTGACCTAATTACAAAAGTTTCCTGAAAATCCTATGGAGCAGTTCTACTCTCACACGAGCTGAAGTAGACTCAACAGCAATTAGCAATAACATATTGAAGTTCAATTTCCCTGTATGATTTCTTATGTTGAAAACATTTTCAAGAATTCTCTAAAATAAATATATGATTAAGGTATCATTTGCTTGACAAAAATATACAATAAAAGTGCATAGCAAAGTGGATGGGGGAACAGTGTGGAGGGAGGAAACAATGAATGAAATCCAAGTTTTATGTAAACTTTCATTAAAATATCAATAAAAAAGAAATACAATTTTAAAAAAATTATTTAAAAAAAGTATTTCCAGCCTTCATTATTTTAGGTGTTAAGTTCCTTCTTGTTTTAAGTTGTACTTAAGTTGATCCTTTCATCACCTTACTTATTATAACTTCCTAATTATATCATCTCAAACAATGGTTTTATAACAAAAGTTTACAGAATGCGCCAGTGTATCCACAAGAAAAAGACTGATAACCCAGTAACAAAATGGGGGTGGAGGGGAAAGAAAGACTCCTTACAAAGGAAGACATTCTGATGGCAAACAGATACATAAAGAAATGCTCAAAAATCACCATCAACAAGAGAGATGCAAATCAAACCCTCCATTTTTCTTGTACGATATTTTGGAGGTATTTATGAAGCAAAATGTCAGGTTCATATACAATCTCAAGAGACTGCTCTCTCTTTCTCAAAAGACTTTTCCTCACTTACAGAAATCTGTCGGGCTGTTTAAAACACAAAAAAAAACCTAGCAATGTCCTTTGGTGCTCTTCTAGATAACCATGTCAATTCCTCAATCAAATTTAATGCCCATAGTTAATACAATTACTCTCATTCTATTGTAGGATAACTAGAAGTTGGAATTAATTTGACAAGACATTGCAACACTTCCATTTTCAATATTTTATGTGTAGCCTTTTTTTTGGTACAATGACTACCCTCTTTCAATCTTCTTTTAATGCTTCTTCTATTACTGAATATTCTGTTTATGGAATCCTTCAGTACTGCAACTTGAGGCTTGAATTTGTTCTTCACTTTTTTTCAGCTTGAGAAAAGTTGAGCATGTTCTTCCCTCTTAATTTTCTAATTACAGCTCTTTTGTTATAATACATTTGTCTTCTCAAACTGCCCTTTGAAATCTTCTGTTTATCTCTCTTCATAAACCTACCTTGAAGTTGAGCTTGTGTATAAGTCAGAAGTTACGTATGGTTCATATATAACCATGTTAGTCAGTAAAACATTTGTCTTAGTTATAGTAAATAATGTTCTATCCTAACCATAAATTACTTTAAAGGACACAGAATAGTAAGTCACTGTGTCAATCTATCTTATTGAAGGTATTCACTTTTTTTTTTTTTTAGAAATCACTGGTATTTTCCTCTAAAAACATATCATTCACTTGTATTTATCCAAAACAGGATACTTAGGAATTTCTGAAGTATGCTCAATTATTTCTTCAACCATGAAATCTCTTGATAGAATCACAGTGAGACTACTCTACTTATTTTCTTAGAAATGGAAATTTAATCCCTTCTTAAAATAAAGAGTACAAAATCTACAAAAAAAAATCTTCTTAGCACATAACTTTGTTAAAGATCATATATAACTTCTATATATATTTACTTTATATGCTGCTTCTATGCAGTTTGCTGATGGAAGCATGAAAGAAATCAAGAACCATGACAAATTAAATACAAGATAATTTGCTTATAACTAAAAAAACCCAAAACTATGGTATCCTTTCCTCCATATTTTCTATTTGGAAGAAAACTTTTGGACAAGGTTTTCACAGACCTGCTTAGTTAGGTGACTCAAAATGTCAATCTGTTCACAAAAATGAAAACTGTCTACCAAGGATTAGGAATTCATTTGTCACACTTAACACTTGAAGTCACTTTTGTTGTTATTATTATGAGCTGGCAAGTCACCTGTGACTCATAGTGACCTTATGTGCAACAACTCTTAACCCTGTTCTATCCTAAGCCAACCTTATTGTCTCTAACTCACCTACCCCTATTATCCCAGTCACTAACACAACTACCCCCATTACTCCAGTCACTAACACACCTACTTCCATTACCCCAGTCACTGAGTCAATCCGTCGAGGGTCTTCCTTTCTTGCGCTATCCCTCCACACTCCCAAGCATAATAATCCCTCTCCAAGGACTAATCCCTCCTTGTAACATGCCCAAGTACGCCAGACGAAGCTTCAGAATCCTTGCCTCCAAAAAAGCAGCCTGGTTTTACCCTCTCCAGAAGTAATCTGTTTCTTCTTTTAGCAGTCCATGGTATATTCAATACTGTTCTCCAGCACCACAGTTCAAATGAATCAATTCTCCTTCTATCATCCTTAGTCATTGTCCTGCTTTCTGACACATAGTAAGCAACTGCAAAGACTATGGTCTGGATCAGGCTCATCTTAGTCTCCAGACTGACATCATTGCTCTTCAGTACTTTGGAGTGGTCTCTGAAAGCAGACTTTCCCAATGCAACTTGTCTTTTAATTTCTTGACTGCTGGTACCAAAAGTGTTGATTATGGAGCAAATCAAACTAAAGCTGTTAACAATCTCAATCTCTTCATCATCTATCATGATGCTGCCAATCGGCCCAGTGGTGAGAATCCTTGTGGAGTTTTTTTTTTTATGTTTAGTTTTAATCCATATTGAAGGCTGCAGTTCTTGACCTGCTACAAGCACTTCCGGTCCTCCTCAGTTTCAGCAAGCAAGGTTGTATCATCTGCATAACACAGATTGTTGATGAGTCTTCCTCCAATCCTGATTCCATGGTACTCCTTATAGAATCTAGCCTCCCAGATGATTTGTCCTGCATATCAATTGAAAAGATACAGAGATAGGACACTTCTTTGGTGTTTACCCTTTCTTATTTTAAACCATGCAGTGTTTCCTTGCTTTGTTCTTATGACTGTCTCCTGGTCCAAGTATAGGTTTCTCATAAGCACAATCAAGTGTTCTGGGTAACTTTTAGAAACATTTCTATTACACAGACCAAATAAGTAAAGGTGAATTGGTTAATGAGTATTTCTTTCATTGTTTTATGGAGTTGATAATAAATTGTCTATTGGGAAATATTTCCACAGAAGGCAGCAATTTTAAAACAAAAACAAAACAGTAGATGTTTTTAACATCTCACAGAAATATTTTTCTCACAAAAATATTTTTACAGGAAATGTTATACTTGTTGTAGAACAAGCAAAAATAACTAAATAAATACCCTATAGAATACATAGCATATATATCACATCACTCATTCATTCATTCATTCATTGTTATCAAGTTGGAAAAAATTCAGTTAGCCCTGCAGTGGGTTTCCAGAGATTATAAATTGTACAGAAGGAAACTGGCCACCTTCCATGGAGTGGTTGATGGATTCGAACTGCCAGAGAGGCATGGCCTCTAGGTTAGCAGAGAAACTCTCTACAAATTAAGCCACAGGAATGCCATAATGTGTGGTATTCATTGCATATACCACATAGCATTAAGACAAACACTACACATTATAGAAAGCATGCACTACATGATTAAAACAGAAAAACTGAGAAGTCTGGCAGTTTAGTGGTAAGAACTTGTGCTGCCAACCCAATGACAAAGATACAAATCTACCAGCAGCTCCAAGAGAAAAAGATAGGTAATCTTCTCCCATGCAATTTACTGCTTCTAAAGACACACTGGAAGGTCAGTGATGTGTCAGTTCAAATTCAATGGTACATAATAGCATTAGAAAAAAAATGTCTAGCAATAGGACATGGTTTAATTTAATGTATATAAAATATTCCCTCAAATGTGTATAGTCTTCTATAAGTTGTCAAAAAATTTTTAAGATGCTAATAAAAAGTGTTTTCATTAATATTTTACAGATTGGGAACCAAAAGTTTGTTCAAATGCAGAATGATGAACCCAAGTCATTAAAAGAAATGCAGCAGAATCTAACATTAAATCAAGCAAATTTTCTTAAGGGCTTTTTGGTGTTCAAGGAAGTGACTTCTCCCCAGTGCAATGCGTATTTGTGAGCACAGGTGGACTAGGGAAAAGGAGTTGAGCTGCCCACCAAAAGAACACAGTTCAAATCCACCAGGTGTTTCTTAGAAAGATGGGCAGTTTTCTCCTGTGTGATTTACAGCCTCTGAAAACTTGCTGGAAGGTCAGCTATGAGTTGTTTCTGACTTAGCAACACATAAAATCACCACCATCACAATTCATATTACCAAAACTACAACTTTGGCAATAATTCATTGCATTGCTATCAACTAATATGCTATCCCAGAATTCTTTGGTCTTTACCATATTACTACTAACACAAGATTTAAAAGTCTTAAGTGTAATTATAAGTCCTACCCTTTATACAAATACTCATCTTTTCTAATCATAAGTATCTGGGCTTGTGCAGGTTCAAAAAATGGGTTCTTCTTCATGTTTACAAAGCTCTGTAGCTCAAATAAACTGAAGCAACATTCCACAAAGCCTTGTAAATATTACTAAGAACTGACTGAGAATATGTGCCAAACACAAGGATTAATTAAAACTCAAGCAATTAAACATTCATGCACTAATGCATTAATATCAAAAGTAAATGCTATACTTTTTCTTTCTTTTCTTCTCTTTGTAGTAATTCCTTCTTCTTCCATAGTTTCTCTTTCTCCTTTTCCTTTTCTCTTCTTCTGGCAGAAATCTCCATTTCTAGTCTTGCCACCTCTTCCTGGTGGGCTCGCCACTGAAGAACCTCAAATAAAGAGCAACATTTGGCTTTATTATCTATCATGTACATACACGTGGCTTCATGGGTCATAATGAGATCAGATTCTATTTCAGGTAGATGTATTTGCATCAAACTTAGGCCAAACACACATTAAAACTGTGTTTGTATACATAAATGTGTGATATATGTAGCAGGTGTGTACATGAGATATGCTAGTATTAAAAAAGAAAGCATCTTTAAAATATCCTCGTTTAGCCACTCTTCATCTAAATTCATAGATGATGTCCTAAAGAGCCTGTGAGGTGATGTCAAAGTATCAGTCAAGTTCCATTAACAGTATCTAAAACCTCTGTATTTCTGCGCACAAGTGTTTTTCTGGAAAGTTACTGATCTTGTGAGATGCCATCAAGTCTAGTATAATTCATAGCAACCCTATGAAAAGATCTGAACCCTGTCCTATGCGGTGTCATCCTCACAATCTCTGGCACACTTGAGCCCATTGCTGTGTCATTCCACCCAGTTAAAGGTGTTCTTCTCTTTTAATGCTCCTCCACCTTGCCAAGCATGATGCCCGTCTACAACGAATAGCCTCTCCTAGCACCTTTTTGGTTGGAAAGTAGGTAGATCTATATTTTAAAATGTCTCAGCTTGTTCAAAGCCTTTAAAATGTTTAAAGTTACTGAGTTCCATGGGAGAAAGATGGGCAATCTCCTCCCATGCTAATTACTGCCTCTGAAAACCTGCTGGAAATTCAGCTATGAGACAGTTCTAACATGACAGTACACAACAACAGTCTATGCTATTGGAAGAGGTACAACTGTTGCAGCATTCCTGAAAGCATTTGGCAACATGTGCCATGATATAAAATATGTATAGCCTTAACCCACATCTCTAATTCTGAGAAATTATCTGGAGAAAGAAATCAATGAGGCAAGTGTATAAAAAATGTTCCCCCAGGTATTTGTATAGTATTTCTACTTAGAAAAGAAAAACTGGGAAAAGGCTAAATGCCTAATTATGGAGAGGGGGACTCCACCTCTAACTCATGGATATTGAGTCAGAATTGACAAATAGCTGAACCTCCAGCAGGTTTTCAGAAACCATAAATTTCACAGAAGGAGGCTGACTGCTCATCTTTCTTTCGTGAGCTATAGAAGATGGCTTACTTTAATTATAGTACTTTACACAATGTGTACCATTCTAAAAAATTATTTTTATCTATATTGATTGGTATAGAACATGTTCAGAATTTGCCATTAGATAAAAAAATCAAATACTTGCAGTGTGAAATCATTAGTATACCATTTATGTGTATGTGCATACAAAGATATTTTGGAGAGAGACTTACCAAATTAATATTTTCTCTGAATAGCATCATCTTGTGGAATTAACAAATACTCTGTAAACTTTACTGTGCAATATTTTTATGAATATGTATTATTTTTACAACCAAAAAACTAATGAAAGAAACAAAATAAACACACACATGATTGGCAAAGTAGCCAAGTGCAATATAGATGTGTACAATAAATATGTGTACAATATTTTTCAGAAAAGGAAGATACTAGTATTACCAGCTTAATAATTTATATCCTACATTTTAACAAGCATAACTAATTAATGTTGTTTTTGCTATGTATCATTGAGTCAGAATCAGTTTATAACTGACCGACCAGCAGGTTCTTAGAAGTTGTAAATTACACCAAAGGAGATTGCTTATCTTTCTCTGGTGGAACATCTAGTGGGTTCCAACTGAGTACCTTTGGGTTAGCAGTGAAATTCCTTCCACTTAGCTACCAGGGAGCCCTGACTTATTAATGTTGTTGTTGTTCTGTGCCATTGAGTTGACCGCGACTCATAGTGATCCCATGTACAGCAGCTCTAAACTCTGCTGTACATGGGATCTTATTGTCTCTGACACAACTATCCTCATTACCCCAGTGACTGAATCAACCCATCTCATCGAGGATCATCCTCTCCTGCACTGTCTCTCTACCCTCCCAACCATGACGTCTCTCTCCAAGAATTGATCCTGCCTTGCAACATGTCCAAAGTATGTCAGACAAAGCTTCATCCTCTCCAGGATGAACATGTTCGTTTTCCTAGCTATCTATGGTATATTCAATACTCTTCTCCAGCACCAGAGCTCAAAGGCATCAACTCTCCTTCTATCATCCCTATTTATTGTCCAGCTCTCTGGTGCATTGCAAGTAATTGCAAAGACTACAGCCTGTATCAAGTGCACTTTAGTCTCCAGACTGACATCGTTGCTCTTCAGCACTTTGGAGAAGTCTCTGACAGCAGACTTTCTCAACACAATTTGTCTTTTTAATTTCCTGGCTGCTGATGCCAAGAGTGTTGATTGTGGATCCAAGCAAACAGAATCTGTCAACAATCTCAATCTCTTCACCATCTCATCATGATGCTGCCAATTGGCCCAGTTTTCTTGATGTTGAGCTTCAATTCATATTGAAGGCTGCAGTCCTTGACTTTCTGCAGCAAACACTCCAAGTCCTCCTCAGTTTCAGCATGAAGGCTTGTGTCATCTGCATAACTCAGACTGTTGATGAGTCTACCACCAATCCTGATGCCACACTTCTCCTCATACAGACCAGCCTCCCGGATAATCTGTTTGCATATAGATTGAAAATATATGGAGATAGGACATGTCCTTGACACACACCCTTTCCAATTTTGAACTATGCAGTGTCTCCTTGCTTTGTTCTGACGACTGCCTCTTGGTTCAAGTATAGGTTTCGTGTAAACACAATCAAGTGTTCTGGGATTCTCATTCTTCTGAGAGTTAACCACAGTTTGTTGTGATCCACACAGTCAAATACCTTTGCACAGTCAATGAAATACTGATAGACATTCCTCTGGTACTCTCTGCTTTCAACCAAGATTCATCTGACATTAACTGTAATATCCCTAGTGCCACAGCCACCTCTAAATCCAGCCTGCACTTCAGGCTATTCTCTTTTGATGTGCTGTTCCAGTCATTTTAGGATAATCTTTAGTAGATTCTTGCTTGCATGTGATAGTCATGATACTGTTTGATAACTTCCACACACTGTCAGATCATCTTTCTTTGGAATGGGAACAAATATAGATCTCTTCCAGTCAGTTGGCCAGGTGGCTGTCCTCCAGATGTCTTGGCATAACTTGATGAACACATCCAGAACAGTGTCTGTTTGTTGACTTATTAAGGTATTATATAAAATTTAGGAAATAGTAAGGTGTGCAGCAAGTCCACACCTTTTCTCCATACCTATTCAATCTGTATGCTGAGTAAATGTTTCAAGAAGTTGGACTTATATGAAGAATCTATCATCAAATTAGAAGAAGTTTCATAATAGTCTGTAATATGCAAATGACATAATCATGCTTGCAGAAAGTGAAGACTTGATACACTTAATAAAGAAGATAAAGACTACAGCCTTAAATATTAATCATAGCTCACCATCAAAAAAGCAAAAATCCCAATCACTGGACCCAATAGGAATCCAAACCAATAGGAAACAGCATGAGTGATGGTGAAAAAATTACAATTGTCAATTATTTCATTTTATGTGGAGACAAAATCAACACCCATAATTGCAGTAGTCAAGAAATAAAAGATTTGTTGCTCTGGAAAAATTTGCTGTAAAGGACCTCATAAGGCTGCACAGTGGAGTGGCCTTTGAGGGAGGGATGAAAGAGTTTTTCTTTTACTTTTCAAGAAGAATGAATTTGGGGGAAGGGGTGGGCAGGAAGAAAAGTGCAACAATGAATGACTGGAAGCCCTAAGGCTCTGTAAATGTTCATTAAAATTAATTTTTTAAAAAAAGACTATTCATTAGAGGCAAAGTACCTGATCCAAGCAATGGTGTTTTCAACTACTTATTATGCATCATAAGGTTGGACAATGAATAAGAATGAAAGAAGAATTATTGACATTTTTGAATCATGGCACAGACAAAGAGTATTTAATATCTCATAGACTTCCAGAAGAACAAACAAATCTGTCTTAGAGGAAGTGCAACCAAAGTGCTCATTAGAGGCAAGGATGGTGAAACTTCAACTCACATACTTTGGGCATGCTGCCAAGAAGGGCCAGTCCTTGAAAATTGGCATCATGCTGGGAGAGGTGGAGGGACAGCAAAGAGATCGAGAACCACAATGAGATGAACTGACTCAGTGGCTATTCTATGGCTTTCACATGGCACAGATTGTTAGGATGATGAAGAACAGGGTGAGGTTCAGATTGGCTGTTCATAGGGTCAGAATGAGTCACAGTCAACTGGACAGCACCTAACAACAACAGCACAGCTGTGGGCAGGAAGCTCTGATGGCCTAGTATTTAGGGAGTTATACAGCTAACTCAAGGGTAGTGCCTCTCTGATGATTCGAATCCACCAGTCATTCTGTGGAGAAATAGGAGCAATCTCATTGGTGTGATTTACAGTGTGAGAAAATTCACTGGATGGTCAGCTATGAATCAGTTCTGACTCAATGACAATGAAAGACAGAGATGCTACAGGCAGTCTCTTTTCTCTTGTTAAGATTTATACTCTCACAAACCCAATAGAGGGTAACTCTGATTTGGAATAGATTCAATAGCAGTGAGTGAGTGGGACTGAAATACCAACAGAAGTAATGGCATGCTATCTGATAAATGTCACAATATAATCTAGTGGGCACAGGAGAGTAAGTAAGAG